TCCCACGAGGTACATTTCAATCTCTCTCATTATTTTTAACAGCTGGATGAATGTACTATAATTGGCTCAACCAATGTCCTATTTAGGTGGTTTCCAGTTTTTGTTATTACAAAGCCTCAGTGAACATTCTTATATATAGCATTTATGTGCATGCATATTTATCAGATGAGTTCTTGCAAATACAACTGCTGGGTTAAAGAGATTTGCATTAAGAATATTAATAGTTGTTGAGTTATCTTCCAAAATAGTTTACTAATTCATACTTCCTTATATACGAGAGTGACTATTTCATCAACCCCTCACCAACACTAAAATGTTTGCCAATCTGAAAGGTTAAAATCATGTTTCATTACTATTTTATTTACATTTTAAAATTATAAATGAGGGGAGGATATTTTCATATGTTTAGTATTCATTTATATGCTTCTGTTGTGAATCTCTTATTTCTGCTCTGTGCCCATGTTCTATGGCTTGTTTAGTCTTTTTAAAAATGGAACTACCAAAGGTCAGTGGATATTGAAGAAACGTTACTGAATTTTTAAACACTTTTTAGATACAGACTTTTAAACTTGAGTTCTAGAGGAGTTTGAAAGGCAGCAAATAATAATTTCCTATATTCTTAGTGTTTGACAAATACAAAAACACTTTACCTGCATCATCTAACACAATCTCACAGCTAACTTCTGAAGCAGATCTTGTTACCCCCATTTAATGGATGACAAAACTGAGATTCAGTGAGATTAGTAACTTTTAGGAGAAATTGTGAAAGGCTTTGAAATGAGCGTAAAAAGATGGCTGGGTGTTCTGTCTCAGGCAGGGGTCGGCAAACTTTTGAGATGGACGAGCCAATCCTGTCCGTCGAAGTTTTGTGAGACCTATAAAACAAATGAAATCGCCATTATGTGAATAATATCCTTTAAGAATTTTATAAATGAAACTATGATAGTTTTATTTTCATTTCCAATTTTACTTCAGAGCCACATGTACGTACCCAAAGAGCCGCATGTGGCTCATGAGCTGCAGTTTGCCGAACCCTGGTCTAGGCCACTCTTCTAGGATTTCTGCACCTTTTATTGTCTTTGAGCTATTTTTCAACTCTTCCAGTTGTAGAAAACTGATAATATTGCAAATGATTCTTGTCCGTAAAAATGCAAATTAATTGTGTCTGGTGGAGATGCAGTTGAGTGTTTCCCTATGGCCATGGGCCCTTTTTGTCTCTATTTGTAATTCATTTCAGCATTCTTGATTGCCTAGATAGGTGTCTGTGTTTGAATTCTCCTTGGAACTCTTATGATGCTTTACCGGCTCCCTTATTAATTAGTGAGTTAAATAAAACTTTGACTCTTGTTCGTTTTACATTTGTATGATTTTATCTTTCAAAAATGACCCCTTAGCTTCTCTCCATATGAGCCTGTCAGGATCTGACTCAGGGGTGTTGGACAAGAATCTTTAGTATTATTTTTAGCCACAGAGCTCTTTGAAAAGCTGCTGAAAGCAACGAACTCTTTCTCTGAGAAAAATAAAGACACAAACACACACACACAATTTTGCATATACTCTTTGCAGCGTTGCTTGACCTCCTGCAGTCTGGTATAAGAATGCCTGGTAGAGTCTAGGCTCAGAATAGCTGCTCAAGTTCAGCAATAAAAAAAGGTAGAAGGGAGAGTTGAAAAATGACCTTTTTTTTTTTTTAACACTTGTTGAGTGCTTACCATGTGCTAAAACATACTAACCCATTTAATTGTCGTAGAAACCCTAAGACACGAGACACAGTTGCTCTGCAGGGAACATGTGCACATAGAGGGCATGTCACTTGCCCAAGGTCACACAGCTGACAAGAGTTCTAAAGTGATTCCTTTGCCCCATAGATACAAGGTAAAGGGAATAAAATAGCTCGGCGGGGCGAGGGGAATAAATCCCTAGAGAGGAGGAGGTGGCCCTCAGAATCACCTTTTATATTTGTACTGATGCAGATGTGACGTTCTGGTCATAGGAACGTCTTACTGCCGGTCAAACCCTGCTTTTAGAGGATTCTGGGGGACGAAGGGTATATGACTGGGACAGGAGATGCAGGTGGTGATGGTTAATTTTACATGTCAACTTGACTGGACCACATGGTGCCCAGAAAACTGATGTGCTAGGGTGTTTCTGGATAAGATAAGATAGATAAGATTAACATTTGAACTGGTAGGCTGGGTAAAGCAGATGGCCCTCCTCAGTGTGGGTGAACGCGAAGCCTGAAAAAGGTGGAGGAAGGAAACATCTGCTTTCTGCCTGACTGTCTATGAATTGGGACATCGGTCTCCTGCCTTTGGACTCAAGTGGGAGCTTATACTCGCCTGGGTCTCTGGTTTGACAATTGCAGGTCACTGGAATTCTCAACATCTATAACTCCTTATAAAAATATCTATCTATTGGGTTGTTGGAAAAGTCATGACGTATTTTTTCTATGTTTTTTGCTGCAAAAATGCGTCATGATTTTTCCGACAACCCAATATATATTTATCTGTGTATCTATGTATCTGTCTGTGTAGGTATGCATGTACGTATGAATCAATCAATCAATCAATCAATCAAATATCTCCTTTCATATTGGTTCTGTTTCTCTGGAACCCAGACTTACCCAGGGACCCCAAGCAGGGTGGACCTGTGCCTCTCCGTTCCACTTGGAAGTCTGGAGATCTGCAGTCTCGTCCATGACCGTCATATCACCAGGGTGTGAGAAATGGCTGCGAGAAGTCTCGAAAAAGAGCCCGCTGCCTGGCTTAGGGCTTCCGCAGCCTCAGTGGGGTAGGGGGAGCTGTCAGCTTTCCCTCCTGCCCGTGAGAGATGGCCTGGAAGGCATAGAGAGGAAGTAGGGGCCTTCACAAAGGGGGCGGGCGGGCTGCAGCAGGGGTGTAGCGTGAACCCCAAGTAGGGGACTGAGTGAGGTGGGGGGAGGGGGTCACACCCAAGGCCAGACCAGCCGAGGCACACTCAGTGGACGCCAACAGGGGCTGAGAAAGACAGAGGCTTGGAAGTGGACAGCCCCTCCCTCAAGAGACTGCAGTGGCATTTGTATAAATTCTCTCCTAACCCCACCCTCAACCTCGCGAAGTCCCCTGTGAGAAGAAGGGAAACAGAGGGGGGTGATCCCAAATGTGCCTGAGTGTTGGAGGAATCACAACATAGAAGCTACCAGAATTAAACTTCTGCCAACAACATAGACATCCAGTCATAGCGAAATGATAAAAAATTACATTTTGCACATTTGAGTTCAGGGCCACAAAAGAGGTACCTGCTATCGGAGTCAGTAAGTTAAGAGCTACTTTGTTAGGAGCCTTTGTTTCCTCACCGACTCTTTTGTTCCCCGAACCCCTAGCTTTCTCCTTTCATCCAGAGTTTGCTGCAGACTGGGTGTCAATAATAGCACTCAGGGCTCTGGGCGATTTGGCACTTCTACGTTTGCAAAGCACATCGACGTCGGTGGGCTGTAGTCTGTGGTTCCGGCGTATTGCCTGCCTGAAGGCAGAGCTAGACTTGCTGCCTCTGGTTTACAGATGAGAAAGCTGAGGCCCAGAGGTCAAATGCAAGGTTATGCAGCAATTAGGGAGAGTGCAGGCTTCCCGATTCCCTGCCCAGCTCCTAGGTGGGTCCCGGACTCCTGGGAGCCAGAGAGCCTGGGCCTCATCCCACCACTTACAGCAATGGCTTGATGTAGAAAAGTCACTCTGCTTCTCAGATCGCAGAGGTTCTGGGATTTGGGGCTGAATCCTAGGATTTCTAGGACCGCACATAGAGGTCAATCCAGCCTGCCCGGCTCAGGGGAGCAGGCCCTGTTCTCCCCCAGCAGGGCACATCTCAGTGATACTCATGTGGAAGGCAAGTTCAGTGGTCGCCTTCCTCTAAGCAGGAGTGACCGATCCCAGGCTGGGACTCAGAGCAGCCACTTTACTGGTGGAATGTGGGACAGCATCACTCCCCAATGGGCCCAGCCCTCACACTTTGCAAAGCACTTTTGCTTCCTTTCAGAGCCTCCTGACTGCTCTGTGAGGCAGGCCAGGTAGACAGGACATTTTACGGACGTCAAAACTGAGGCTCAGACAGGGCGTGTGGCTTGCCCAAGGCCTTGCTTCCAGGAAACAGCAGAATCAAATGAAACCCAGGGCAGAGAGAGGCTAGCTTTCCTGCTGGGCCCCTGACACAAGTCCCAGGAAATAAACTCTGAAAAGAGCTCCCTGTCTTCCTCTTCATTCAGACCAAAAATGACAGCATCCCTCCCCCATTCAACAGAATAACCAAAGACACGAAATTCTGTTTAAAAGTTTAAAAAATGTTCCTATATTTTTCTCTCTCTTTAAGACATTCACACCAGAGCCCTACAGAAATCTGTTAGACATGGGCCAATTGCAAGGCCATTGACAAATGTTCTGCTTACAGGTCAAGGTCAGCACTATCCCTTAGACCAACCTGAACTGAGCTTGTAGGGGCAGAGCCTCAGTTGTTCATGTCAATATTCAGTTCCATTGATGGAGCACACAGTAGGTGCTCAATAAATGTGTCATGAATGAAAGAACAAACATCCTCTCCTTGGCCTTTTTATGCCCCTGCTCTCACCATGGTTCACTTCACCAAAGTCCAGGCCGGAAGGGACCTCAGAAGTCATCTTACCCAACTTCCTCATGTTATAAATAAGGTCCAGAGAGGGTGAGTGACTGGCTGGAGGTCACACAGCAAGTTAGAGGAAGGACAGGTGCAAGAGGACGACCTCCTCGTTCCAGAGTTCATCCTGAGACCTGACACAGCCTCTGTCGTCGAGCCAGGAGGGCCGCCTTCATTGGCCACCTTGCTGCTGAGTCTGCTGCAACCTTCCAAGAGGCATGCTCGGGGGGGCTTCCTGGGCTGTGGGCCATTGTTGTATCATGAGATTGACTCCCTCAGAGGCCTGGGTGCCTTCCCGCCACTTGCCTTCACCTGGAGAGGAGAGCGGCTCCACAGGGGAGAGGATGTCCATCTGAGCCCTATGTTGGAGTGGCACAGATGCTGCCCCATTTGGGGTGCAGAGGGGGAAGGAAGCCGGATGTTGGAAAGCAGGTCTGCTGGATGACAGGGTCTGGGAGAGGCTGTGTCTCGCATGGGTGGCGTGGGAAGACGGTGATCCGGGCAGGGAACCAGGCAGAGGCCAGCTGACCTTGAGCTGATGGATAACACCCCGGGGGAGGAGCCAGCCTGGACAGTGCAGGGGGCAGCAGCAGGGGACCCTGTCACAAGGAGAGGTCAGGAGAGAAGTGAGTGCTAAGCTTGACCCGGGGCTGTCCTGCAGCTTCCCAACCTTTCTCCCGTGACCTGGGCAGCTCGGGCTGAGTAGGGCGACCAACCTGGGGAGAAGCGTGTGCCCTGGGGGCCAGAAAGCCTGGTCCTCATCCCACCATTTACAGCAATTGCTTGATGTGGAAAAGTCACTTTGCTTCTCAGAGCCCAGTTTCTGCATTAGTAAGAAAAAAAAATAGATTAAAAAAAAATCCTGCCTCAAAGCATCACTGCGGGTCTGCACAAACCTTTAGCTGTAGGACTATTTTGTGGAGTACTGTCTCCCCAGAGTTTAGCATCTGGTTCAGACTCCAAGTATGTGTTGACTCAGTGGGCAGCTAATACTTAGGGAGCACTTCCTAAGTGCCAAGTATTCTTCACATCTCAGTCATTTCATCTTCATCAAAACTATTACTGTCCTCTGAGGGGCACAGTGAGTCTTCCAGGCCACCCCGCTGCTCAGTACAGAGCTGGGATTCGAACCTTGGCAGTCTGGCTCTGGAGCCAAAGTGCGCGGCTTCTGTGTACTGCCCTTTTCTTCGTGACTGTTCTGTAAACTGTGAAGTTTTGCACAAGGATTACAAGCCAGTCCCCGGAGGAGGGAGAGGCATTGTGATTATCACTCAGCAGATGAGGACATGGGGACAGAATGAGGCAGTGATTGTCCCAGGCCCCACAGACTTCCAGAGCATCCTTGCCCATGCCATTCTAAAAGAATTCCCCTTGCACTTTTGACTATGGAGGAGTTTCCTCCCTTCAGAGTCTGGGTAGGATCTTCTTAGATAGTGGACCCCCCCAAACCCTTTGGGGCCTCAGCCACTCACACCCATGTCCGGATTGGTGGCTGGGGCCACGTTGGCGTCACTCAGCTGCTGCGGAGCCCCGATGCTGCCTACCTTCTCCTGCTTCCGCCACTTGGCGCGCTGATTCTGAAACCAGATCTGGGAGGGGGAGAGAGAGGGTGGAGATAAGCAAAATGTTTTTTCTCCATCTAGTACCTCCCCCAACGTGCATAACAACGACATCTTCACGGGACTGGCACTTTACAGTTCAGAGCGCTCCATGGCACCCAGGATTTCTCTGGCTCCGGAGGTCAGCCTTCTGAGCGGGGATGGGGATCACAGCTTTCAGCGCCTACAGGGCTGGGGGCTCATCTGGGAGTAAAGCAGCGGAGGGTTATGTGATTGAGAGTGGTGGGGTCTGTGGAGAACAGAACGTAAGGGAGCCAGCCTCTCAGCTCCAGCCAGCAGCTGCCATGTGGAGATGTGTGCCCAGCCTTGCAGGCTCAACCACCTTCTAAGGCAGAAATCTTGATTTGGATGTGAAAGCTCTGAGTTTTAAAATACAGTGCAGATCAAATAAAACCCACCTGTGGGCTGTTTCCTTCTGGCAGGCTACTGGTTTGCAACCCTCGTGAGCCCCTTGGCCGCTACAGGAGCACTGACATGTTCCTGTAGTCATGAGCGCCCTGATTGCCTGACACGTGGTCATTTGTACTTGGTCATTCTGCAGAGGCAGAATTCTGAGCTGCAGGTGCTGTCCACTTAGCTGGTGACTGATTCCACATGGGAAGAAAAAGGGGAGAAGTCTAAGAGAGGGGTGCATCTTAGCCAGAAGAGAAGTAGGTTGGGATAGAATGAAGAGTAGAACGTTGACCTGGGTCCTGGCTCAGGTTTTGAATTTGAATGAGTCCACCATATATTTGTTTTAAAAAAAATGAGCAACTTAGAAAACTATGTTAGAGAGAGTGCGAACCATGCAACCATTGGGTTTGGGTTTGCTAGAATGGTGGTTGCAAAAGTGGGGATGTGCAAAGAGGGAGGGACATACACCCCTGGTGAGTGACAGGGGCTATTGTATCTCTAACCACAGATGAAGCCATAGATACTCAGGTGTGAAGAAATTAGAGTAGAAATTAGGCAGTCGGTGCTTCCACCAAGTCTCAGACCATGGTTCCAGAAGCCTTCCCACTTCTCTGTGCTGCCTTCAGAGTGATGCCCATGTGGCTAAGGCCTGCCAGCTAAGCCTGGCCTTCCACCTGTTACTGTGTGGCTCATGAGCTAAGAATGGTTTTCACATTTGAAATGGTTGGGAAAAAAACCAAAAGAAGAATGATATTTTGCGACACATGCAAATGATACGAAATTGACGTTTTAGTGTTCATTGATAAAGTTTTATTGGAACACTGCCATGCTCATTTCTTTATGTACTATCTATGGCTGCTTTTATGCTACAGTGGCAGAGTTGAGTAGTTGTGGCAGTGACCATATGGCCTTCAAAGCCTAACAGAATTGCCATCTGGCCCCTTACAGGGAAAGTGGGTTGACCCCGGTCTAGATTGTCAAGACCTATTTTGCAAATGAGGCTGCCTGGTGAATGATGTTCTAGAACTGTGGCCAAGTGGAAAGGAAGGGTGTGGAAGCAGATGTCAGGGACCATCAGTGGTCACACTTCCACTCCCCAAGGAGAGAAACCATCTTATAACTATGGTAACCCCCCTTCCTGGCACATATTTGGCAAATATGACTATGCTCATAGGACAAAGCCAATGGAGAGTTTCGGACTGGGTATCCTGGAGGGTCCAGGATCCATATTGTCTCCCCCATGGCCCCAGGTGCGTTGAGGTGGGGGCTGAGGGTGGGGATGGCTGTACCTGCACCTGAGCTTCTGGGAGGTTGAGCCTGGCCGCCAGCTGGGTGCGGATGTGGACGTCTGGGTAATGGGTGAAGTGAAAGATCTTCTCCAGCTCATGCAGCTGCTCGGTGGTGAAGGTGGTTCGGACCCTCCGCTTGCTCCTTCTCTCCTCTGGATGGAAGAGGGGCCGAGTGGTGTTAGTGACCTTGGTGTTGGCTTTGTGTGGCCTTGTTCCACCCTTTCAACCTCTGCGGCCACTATCGAGTCTTGGCCCCTGGCACCCCGTGCTTGCAGTTGTGCAATATTCTTTTTCCTTGAAACCCTGCCCCTAGGCTGACCCCCTTCCCGTCCATCTTAGACAGGGAGGCCAAAGTAACCTAGGAACTCCTCCGATTGTCCTTTCGCTGCTCGGATGCCTTCAACGGTCTCCCCTTTGTCTACAACATGGGATGGCAAACTACAGCCTGCGGGCCAAATCCAGCTCACTGTCTGTTTTTGTCAATAAAGTTTTATTGGAACACAGCCCCATCTATTGGTTTATGTACTGTCTATGGCTTCTTTTGTGCCATAGCAGCAGAAACTATATGGCCCACAAAACCTAAACTAATTACCATCTGGCTCTTTATAGAAAAAGTTTGCCAACCTTGGTCTGCAAAGTAAAGACTGAACTCCACAGCAGTCAGCACCTTACAACATTTTTCCAATCACCTGTCCAGCCTCATGTCCACTCAGGGCCGGCTACATCATTTGTGGGGACTAGTGCAAAGGAAAATGTGGGGCCCTTGTTAAAAAAGCAGGAAGACAGATTTTTCCTTTCTTGCTCAGTCTCTTTCCTGACCTGTCAGGGTGTGTTTTTATTTGCTAGCTAAGGCTGTGTTCCCTTGGGCAAAGGGATACTAACAGGGTGAGTGTTACAGGGACCCAGGGACCACCCTTCCACTGGGTGCTAGGGTGTGTGTGCCTTACCTTAGCCTTTCTCACACACACGCCTAGCCCATCCCTCCACCCCAGGATGGAGGAGGCAGTGGTCACTGGCTCCAGGTGGGAAAATTGGTGGCCAAGAGCCCATCCCAGGGAAGAGGGGATGAGCACGAATTGAGGATCTAGGCCCTGGTGTGTGCTTCATGGTCTCATTGGACTTCACTTACAAAACACAGATTCAAACATAAAAATTATTAAGAATTTCAAGATCGTGACCGTAAGCATTAAACCATTAAATTCTATCTGAGTGTACCTTGTACAATTACACTAGTCGCACACATGCCCATGAAGCCAGGTGTGTGTGTGTGTGTGTGTGTGTGTGTGTGTGTGTGTGTGAGAGAGAGAGAGAGAGAGAGAGAGAGAGAGAGAGAGAGAGAGATCAGGTATTTGATTTGGACGTAGATGCCTATCGGTTGTTCAAAGGAACTGATTGACTAGGCAGATGCATAAATGAGTATATCTGGAGTTCAAAGGGAAGCCCAGGACTGAGGTTCACATTTGGGAATCAGCATGTATTTGGCCTTTGAAGTGATGGGAGCAGGTGAGATCATTGAGGCAGGAAGTGTAGGTGGAGAAGAGTGGAGGGTCTACGAGCTAGCCTGGGGCCCCTTCACCATTTAGAGGTTAAGCTGCCAATGTGGGAGCCAAGAGAAGCCGGTGAGGGAGACCAAGAAGGGGCAGCCTCTGAGGTAGAAGGAAAGCGAGGAAGGTGAGTGATACGGACACCCAGGGAAGAAGCTGGTTCAAGGAAGAAGGAAGGCTCAGCTGTGTCCATGCTGTGAACAGACTGATTACAGTGAGGACAGAAGAGTGCTTGCAGAACCTGGCTCTGCCGAGGACCTTAATGATCGCAGTTCTCACAGAGCAGAGACAGCGAGGGCTCAGGTGACAGAGGGTGGAGGAGAGGGGGTGGGGGAGGCAGAGGAGGCAGTGACTGTAGATAGCCCTTCAAGGAGGCTTGCTGGGAATGTGGACAGCTGACAGTTGACAGCTGGAGAGGGAATGCATGTGTGGCCCAGGGGAATTAAGAACACTGAACATCACAACATCATGTAAACTCCCCAGTAAACTTGCTCCCTGTGTTGCAGTTTCCTCTAATTGCCACATATCTCTAGGAGAGAGAGTATCCATCAGTCATAGAGCCTACTTTTTTGGCGTTGGGGAAACTGAACGTATAGGGCAAGTAAGAGGAAGGATAGACTGGCCCACGCCCATCTCCCTGCTGGTCCCGGGGGAGGAGGAGGTCATCCGGTGGAGAGGATGGTGCCTGAGAGCCCTGGGTGGTGACTCAGAGCAGAGTGGACCTGCCCGTGGTGCACAGGGCAGAGAGGCGTGGGGAACAGCGGTGTCTGAACGGTCGGCTCAGAGACCATGAAGGTCCGCACTTCAGTTTTCCCGCCATGGACAGGAGGAGGCTGCTCTAGGGACGGGGTGGCGGGGGTTAGCATGGCTGATGCTGGGGTTACAGATCACAAGGGTATAAGAGAAAGGAGGCATGGGAGAGAAGGCAGCCCAGCAGACCGGAGTGTGGAACAGAGAAGAAGGGAGAGCACAGAAGTTAACCCGCAGAAATTTGGACCTCATTAAACAGAAAGCTGGAGGTGCCAGCTCATAGATGGGGCATCCTATGCACGAGGTAAGATTCTTAATCATCAGGAAAGGCTGAGATCTTCCAGACGCCAGCTCAGAGAGGATGATGGTGGTGTTGGGCCCTGTTATCTGAGCCCTGGAAGGAGGACTGGATTGGGAGTCAGAAGATCCTTGAGTTCCTGCCCAGGCCTGGCATTTCCGGACCAGGCAGAGAAGCCCAGAAGCTGGTGGCCACAGTGCAGCCCACCCACAGGGCACCTCGGGAAGGGCACGTGGGGTGGCAGGGAGACGGTGGGGAACTGCCCCCCTTTCAACTTGCTCCCCTCCCCGTGATTCACTGCAAGCTGTGATCACACTTCAGTGGGCCTTCAAAGAGAACGAGTCAGCAGAACTTAATTAAACCTGAGCCATTTAGCACATTGATCATACGAAATACACAATTTACACAGGTGATTAGGCCACCTAATTATAAACCGATGTTTCTCCGTGCTCGGTTCCCTCCCGTGATTGTGCGTTCTCGGCGGTCTGCTAATGGGGCCTGGCTGCTCAGCTAAAGCCCCCCGGGCTTTGTCACTGGGCCAAGTCTCTGGAATGCATCGTGTCCTTGTCTTCCTAAGGCAGCGGGTGCAGCCTCAAGGAGACCCAGGGCGCCCTTGGGAGCCCTCCTGCAGGCTGGGGACACCTCCGGGACAGGACAGGTGGGGTGTAGGGCACGAGTCTCCAGGGCAGACCTGCGCCGGCGTCTTCTTTGCAGCCCGGTCACGGACTCCCTGCAGTTCCCTCATGCGCACAGCACGGGCCATGATCTCTGCTAAGGAAGCCTCCGCTGGCCTCCCAGACAGGCCAAACCTCCCTTAGAGTAGGCCATCCGAGCACTGTGTCACCCTCTCCCCTGCGCTTATCCCAGCGGTCCTCGTGTTTTCATTGGTGATTATTGGATGGCTGTTTGTCGCCCCTGCTAGACTAGAAGCTAGATCCGGGCAGGGTTGTGCTTGTGTTCTGCTGCCCGATGCGTCCCCACACCCAACTAATACCTGTGGATAGAACCCATTGGTTTCTTCCCTTCTTTAATGTGTGGTCACCTCAGTGACCCCCACAACCAATGCAGTGTAGTGGCAGTGCTGCCACGAAGGTTCTTAGGCTGGGTCCTAGAGGATGCAGCTTCCACACGGCTCCCTCCTTCTCAGATGTTCTCTCTGACAGATGCCTCCGCATTTTGGGAGGACACTCAGGGGCATGTGGGGAGCCCCCACCTGGGGAGAAACGGAAGCCTCCTCCAACAGCTGGCGCCAACTCGCCAGCCGTGGAAATAAATCCCCTTTACTCCAGCTTGGACTTCAGGTGACTGCAGCCCCAAACAACATCTTTACTGCGACCTCATGAGGGACCCACCCAGTCAGGTCACTCCCAGGTTCCTGATCTGGAATCTGAATGAGATGATACACGTTTATGGTTACCTTAAGCCACTATGTTTTGGGACAATTTGCTGTGCAGCAATAGACATGCCTGCCACTCAGGTGACACTCAGCAGCTTATGCTGCCTGCCTGGATGCAGCGTATAACGCAGGGAGTGAATCTCAATCACAGCCAAGGCTTTCAGCCTCCTCTGTCCACTCGGATTCCTCCCGATACTCTGGGGTCCTGTTGTTATAGTGGTGTCAACGCCTTGATTTTTTTTGCATCTCTCATACCTGTGCTCCTAGTCAACTTCCTCCTGCCAGGACATGTATCTCTGGGCTAAAAAGCCCCTAGATTGGCTCCATTTCCTAAAGGATCTAAGCCTCAGTTTCTCACAGTGGTCACGGGCTTCACCACATACCCTCTCTTTGCTGTCTTTCCTTCTTTGTCTTATTTCGCTCCTTCCCTGCTGGTGTTCTTTGCACGTCCCAGGTAAACTACCGGTGCTCAGAGTCTTCCCTTCAGGCCTGCTTTCTGGGGAACCTACACAAATGCAATGCTTTCCTGCAAGCAGAGGCCAAGCCGTGCACTTCCTTGTGTTCCCACAGGGCCTGAGCCAGGTTCTCATTTCTAGAACGACCCTCCAGGTGCCCCCAGCCCTGTGGGAATGTCCCCAGGGCCACCTTAGGTTGTAGCTCTGATGGCAGAGGCTGAGAGAGGGTATCCGGTGGAGAGAGACCAAACCACACTTCTCCTGAGAGGATGATAAGCTTTTAGCTGTGTCCTTCGGCCCTGCTCCCATCTGCTCTCTGGCTCTCCGGGTCTGAGGGCCAGAGCGACAAGGCACACCACAGGCCTCGGCCACAGCCTGAGCCTCGACCCTTTCTCCAGCGCCTGGAGCAGAGCAGAGCCCCTGCTGTTCACTCTGGGCAGTGTGGGCTGAGGAGGCTGGAGCGGAGGGAAAAGAGTGAGGGGGTGCAAGGAGGAGAGGAAAACAAGGAGGTGGACAGGGAAGAGTGAGGAGAGAGAGGGACATAAAGGGGTGAAGATGTGAGGGAAGGTGTAGTGGGTTGAATTGTGTTCCTCCCAAAGAGATGTGTCCACATCCTACACCCTGGTACCACTCAGTTTGTGGTAATTTGTCCCAATAGCCACAAGGAACTAACACAGTGGGGAGGAAAAGGGAAAGAAGCAAAGAAGGAAGAAGGGGAAGCAGAGGCTTCTAAAGGGCAGAGGTTTGCAGGCATTTAAAGGACAGGAAAGGCTGGAAGTTAGAAGCTCCATGTGCCTGGAGAGTAGAGTGGGGGTAGGGAGGGTATGATGAGAGATGAATCTGGGGACCAACAGGACCAGCCTGTGAAGGACTTTGAATGTCACACCACCAAGTTAGGGGTTGGTAATCTACAGCCTGAGGCCAGATCCGGCCCTCCACTTGTTATAGTAAATAAAGTTTTATTAGAACAGAAACATACCCCTTCATTTACACACTGTCTCCTTTTCAGCTATGATGGCAGAGTTGAGTAATTGCAACAGAGACCATCTAGCCATTTAAGCTTTAAGTTACTACGTGGCCTTTTGTAAAAAAAAAATTTGCTGACCATTGCTATAGGATATTCCTCAAATCCCACGAATTCTACTGTGTCATCTCCATTAGACATGACGGGCAGGAGTCAGCCCTGCCCCAAGGCGGTGTCCCCAGGCTCTAGTTGCTGCTGGCCCCACCCTAATGCAGGTGGGTGGTCACTATGTCTGGTTCTAGTCACCTTCACCGTCTCAGCCCCCAGTCTGGCCCAGAGAAGCCCCCTGCAACAATTCACTGAGTGACTGAATGGCTCATGTACAGATAAGGGAATTGTCTGTATATCTGGGTCCCCCACCCCCACAGGCCCGAAGACCACACCAGTTTACCCACTGAGGTGGTCTCTTCTTTGCCTATCTCTCTCTCCTCTTTCTCCCTGAGCGTCACAATTTCCTGGTGGAGGGTTATCAGTGGCTCAGGTGCAGAGATGGTCTCTCTCTTCTCAGGGTCTGAGCCTCTAGTACAAAGTGGCTTTTTCCTGATGGAGTTGCTTTTCAGCAACTAGTTTGTCATAGAATTGGTCATGGCCTATCAGAGCTGGGAGGGATCCCAGAGCTCTGCTCTTTCATGTTCCAGATGGGGAAACAGAGGCCCAGAGGCGGGAGCGGCTTGCCTGGGGTCCTCCTGTGCATCGGAGCCAGCCTGGGGCTGAGAGGCCAGGTGTCTGGAATTTCAGCTCCCAGCTCTCCTCACTCAGCCTCTCACACACTCCAGCTCATTTGCAGCTTCTGCCAGTTACCTCTGGAGTTTCTGACGTGTGGGCATCCCATCTGTATTATTATTGGCTCAGCATTTTGCCAAAGAGACTTTTTAAAATTTACTTAAAAAAAGAAGTTTATTTTTAAAACAAAACCTCACGTCATGACCATGAATGGGTAACCAGTATCGTGCTTCCTAAGCAGAACGTTAGTGTAAAATAATTAGAATTATTGACATAAATCATCTTTGTCTGCGTACCCCTCAGCGTCATCTTGAAAACCACCAGTGGGACCTTCACTAGTCTTGGAAATTCAGAATTCCAGCAGAGTGGGAGGTGGATAGATTTAAACCACCTTCCGGAATGATCTAGAGTGGGTGGTCTCAGGCCTCCTGGGGGCCATTCTAGTGCTCACCCTTCATGTAGTTTCTGCCGCTGATTTGTCCTCTTTTCTTGGTTTATCGTCTATAAGGTGGGGGCTCACAAATGCGACAATTCAGTGGAAAAGTGGTCATGAGAGTACGTGAGAGCCACGGGGCACTGTCCAATGTTACAGCTGCAGTTTTGGCAAGCATGTACTGGGGGGGTCAGCTCTGGGTTCAGCAGGGTAGCTGACATGGAACGTGCCAGCGTCTTCAGGGGAGGCTTACAATGAGTGGCTGCCTTTTTTCCGTCAGACATTGTCAGGGGAAAGGGAAGCATCTCTGGGAGGGGAGATCAGACCTCTCCTTCCCCACCCTCTCACCCACCCCCCTCTTTGTCTCTCATTAGGACAGTGTAGACAGTCATGGATTTGATGTAGCTGCAGCAGGAGAGACTGAGGTTAGACTTCCAGGAGAATTGTTTCTGTGAATGCTCATGTAATTCACTGGAAGATATTAATGAACTTCTGAAAATTAACCTTTCCCATTGATAGGCTCAGCTACAGAGAAACCCGCCAGCTCCCTGGGGACATGTCACCATCAGGGTCTTCCCCTTGCTTTCAGCAGAGTACAGCGCCCCTCTTGGGAGACTCAACTGGGAGGAGGGATTGGGGCTTTCTGTGTGGGAAGAGAAGGCATCACGGGCTCCTCTGAGCTTCCTTTCCAACCTTTCCTTGCGTTAAAGGGGTGGAAAAGGGGAGAAAGCTGGGAACCTCATGAGATACTCCAGGCTCATCGACTATCCAACGCCAGTGGCTGCTTGAGACATCACCATCTCGGTTCCCTCTTCCTTCACTCAAGTGTTTCACTGAGGATAAAGCTGTTTCACTCAGCTGAGGGACTGAGTGAAAGGGACTTCCCTGAGGTCACACGAGCCTGTGTAGAGACTGACATCATGGATTCCTGACTCTTGGCAGGGCGTACGTAGCCACCTCAGTGCCTGTCCTCAAACTGGCGGTCAGGGAGGGGCCTGCGATCTGGTCACTGTTATTTGGAAACGTGTCCTGGGGTGGGCTGCTGGCCTGCAGGGTGGCGGCGCTGGTGGTGATCAGGGTGGACAGATCTCAGGCAAAGCTTCAGCCACTGGGAGCTGTGCAGGCTGAACTCTGCCTAAGAAGAATATGCGCGACTGAGGAGGGGTTTGCAGGCAGCCAGGGCCAGGCCCTGCTCTGGGGCTTCTGCTTACTGGCTGTGTAACTTGGGGACACCGTCTACCTCTTCCCCTTCACAAATGAGTTTCCGCATCTGTCCAGTTATGGTGATGATGCCTTTTCACTGAAGTTAGAGAGGAGCACGTACACTCTCCAGGTCAGGGCTGACCGCATTGTAAATGCTGAATAAATCCATGGGAACTAGCATTCTCGGGGGAGCCTGGTTACAGGAGCAAGCCCTGGGTTCCTGCATCCTGCAACTAACAACCTTGGTGTCGCATTGGACCCACCACGGTTCTGGGCTAGATAGGAAGAGATGTAAGACACCAGCCCAGCGCCTGGCATCTCTGAATTTTAGAGAGGTGTTGGTATGAAACAGCCTTCTCTCTGACTGAGCCCAGCTGAGCCTGAGAGACCCAGGATGGATAAATGACCGGAAGACACTTACCCTGGGGCTGGTCCTGTGGGGGCCTCTCTGGCCCGGAGCCTGTAGCTGCTGCTTGCCTGGTGCCCTGTCCACCTGCCCCTTCCAGCCTGACTCCATCACTGCTCTCAGCGGGCCTCTTTAAGATCTCGTCGATGGAGAATGACAGTCCCAGCTTCTTTGGGGCCTCACAGCACTCTGAGTTCTTCCTCTCCATACCCCTGCAGAGAACAGGCCCCCCTGGCACTCTCCGTGGGCGGCTGTGAGGAGGGGCAGAAGGGGCTTCGTGCGTGCCCAGGATGATGGTGGTAGAAGGTGGCGTAGTTCTTTCCCCTAAACTCCTGGAATCAAGAAGGCAAGCAGAAGTGGAGAACGGGGAGCCTCATGTCGGATTATCCAAGCACAATTCCGTCTTCCCGGGGACTTCCATGAGCCACTTCAAATTACCCCTGGGATCAAGGAGGCAGGTCGCATTAGCAGAGCTGTATCCTGTGCCCACAGGCTCAGAGCCCTCACCGGCTCAGTGTCAAGGGAGCTACCATTGCCAAATTGGGTTCAGTTTTACTGCAGAGGGTCTTTTCCAGGTGGTCGACCCCACAGTCTCCGGCCTAGTCCAGGGGCTCTGAGGTCACTGCCAGTGGGAAACAGGGCAGAGAGCTGGAAGGAAGAGAAAGCCTGTCCCCAGAGGAGATCTCGCGTGTCCACCTTTGCCCTTTCTCTGGCGTGTGGTCTTTTCCTGCTGGCTCCGGCCAGGGCTCTGGAAGGCTGGAGTGCCACCCTTGGGTCCCAGGTGCCGCTGGAGGCTGTTCCCAGACACCCTTCTGGACGTCTCACAATTCTGCTGCTTCCAGACTCCTGAATCTGCCTTTTGGAATGCTTGTGTTTCTGCTGTCCTGGAGGTGGAGGCTCAGGGAGGGGTCACTGGGTCACTGTCAGGCTGTCTCTCTGTGATGGGGCTACTGTCTGAGCCCCCCAGGGGTCTCTGGGCTGGCCCTGACTTCCTCCTCTCCCCGACCTTGCTTCACAAGTCTTTCCACAGGCTCCTGACCCGGGGTACCTCTCCTTGCTTTTTGGGATGCTCCCTGTTCCTCTCCTGCTGGCACGCCCCTTACCTGCCTCCCGAGATAGCCCTGAAAGGACCCTGTGTCTCTGCCCAGCAAACCGTCGGCTGGGAGCTGACAGGCAGCAACCTGTACTTGCCAGGAGTTCTGCTCCCAATGACTGTGTAACCAGGGAGGAGGGGGCAGTAAAACGGCTGATAAGAAACTCTCCACCTTCCTTAAGGCTGGGGACGCAGGTGTCAGGGAAAAGGGGCAGGGGGCAGAGGGGCGCTGAAGGATGAGTTTGGGGGGCATGGGGAGGGGCCGTGCTGGGAACTGGCCAGGCTGGAGCAGGACAAGGGAAGGTGGAAGCCTGCTGGCAGGAAGTGTCCCAGGCCCAATAAAATGTGTTTACTCAGCCAGGAGCGTTTAATGTGTCTCGTATACGCTGGAGTCTGGGCCAGGGTGCAGTCTGCTGAGTGTAGGCCACAGGCCATCCCTCTCAGATGTGCAAATATCAAAGCAGGAGAGGCTTTGTGAGGCTTGAGGGTGCGTGAGGGGACACTGAGGCCCAGGCCATGGGGATGTAGTGGGTGTCATGTCACCACCTGACTGAAATGCCCTGGCTCTAGGCTGCCATGCTGGCCACAAGGAGCCGATTTGTATGAGAGTGACAGATACCCTGGGAGAGACTGTGACTATGAACTGGGACATTAGGATCTAGACCTTCTCTTAGAGGGTGGAGTGGCAGGTGGGGGGTGAGAAGGCTGATCCCTGCTCCTTGAAGAGGGCGAGTCAGGACAGTGAGGGACACCCTGAGATGGGGAACAGGTAATGATCACATGGTCCGTTTTACGAGCTGTGTCCTTTGGAAGTGTCAGGCTAGCTGATCCAGTGAGGGCACTGTGGGCTCTGGATGCAGGAACAAAAAACCCCTAAAATCTTGGGAGCACCACTGCTCACTCATGTCATCGTCAGCGTAGTTGGGCATCCGTTCAGGGACCCAGGCTCCTTCCCAAGCAGGATGCTTCTGTCCTCTCGTGGGCACCAGCTTTTCCGGGGAATAGGAGAGCTTGGAGGAGGGCATTTTCTAAGTTGGAAGTGGAAATGGTTCATGTAACTTCTGCTCATATTTTGTGTCCAAGATGAGTCATATGACCCTGCCTAGGTGCAAGGGAGCTGGGCAGTGGAGTTGCCCTCTGGGCCAGCAGGAAAATGATTGAGGTTGGTGGACACACAGTGAAGTGCCTGCTGTACACCCTTTAATGCCGGGAGGCCAGAGTCCTACAGAAGTCAGGCCTGCTGTTGGTTGGCTAAAGGAGTGGTCGCACCTCAAAGAATGGGGCTATTGCAAAAAGAGGAATGGAACTTTCAAACTGGTGGAAATTGCTTATTTGAGAATTGCTTGAAATGCTACAAGATGCTTTGGGTTTACCTCCTCACCCATTTTCAGTGGGGCTTTTGGCAAATCAAAACTGGCTTTGTTGGCTCATTTTGATTTGGGTAAATGTGGATTTTGTCATCATAGTTCTTGTTTTTTTTTAAAATTGGGGAATTGGGGGATGGGAACAGCGCTGGGGAATTTGGGGAAGGGGAACAGACAAGTTGCTGTCCTTTTGTTCTTCAGTCTAGTTGTGGAGGACGTTGCTTCACTGGCCCAAGTTGGCACCATCATTGTGCTCTTCCCGGCTGAGGCAGATCAGTCGCTGGTTTCTGGACGGCCGCTCACGGCGGCTGCTGGCCGCTCATGCTGGCTGCTGGCTACACACGGCAGCCCATGGTAACCCACTGCAGCAGGGGCTGCAGCCTACACCGTCGCCAGCGACTCATGGCAGCCCAGCTCCAGGTTGAGCTGTTGTTCAGCATCTTAGCTGTGGAGGGCAGTGTCACTGGCCCTCATATGTGGGATCCGAACCGGGGTCCTCTGGTGTCCCAAGCCAGCTCTTAACCAACACACCACTCAGCCGGCCCCATAGTTCTTGGTTTGATAAAGTCTGTCAGGAAGCAAAGAAAAGTATGTCACAGGGTTTCTGAGGTTCAGGAATGTGGGCACGGCTTAGTTGGGTGGTACTGACTCAGGGTCTCTCATGAAATTGAGTCAAGACGTAGGTTGGGTGGCAGTTATCTGAAGGTTGGACTGTGGCCGGAGGGTCTGCTCCCAAGAAGGTTTTGCTACATGAGTGTTGGCTGGAAGCCTTAGTTCCTTCCTATGTAGGCCTCTCTGTAGGGCTGCTCATAACACAGAAGCTAAATTCCCTTGAAGTAAACGATGAGAGAGAGAGAGAGAGAGAGAGAGAGAGAGAGAGAGAGAGATTGGGATTAGGAAAGAGACCAAGGCAAAGGCTGCAGTGTCTTTTATAACTTAATCTTGAGTGGCATACCATTGCTTCTGACATATTGCTTTGCTCACACAGACTAACCCTGACACAATAGAGGAGGGGGCTACACAAGGGTGTGAATACCAGGTAGGGGAAATCATTGAGAGTCATCTTGGAGATGGCTACCACAGGGCATGTGCAAGTAATTTAAAATTTTCTAGTAACCACATTTTAAAAAGTAAAAAAACTCAAAAAACGGTGGCATTAATTTTAATCATATATTTTATTCACCCAACATGCCGAAATATTATTTCAACATGTAATCAACATAAAAGTATTTATTAGCTATTTTGCATTTTTGGGGGGCTACATTTGAAATCTGATGTGTGTTGTACACTTACAGCTCATCTCAGTTTGGACTTGCCACTTTTCAAGTGTTCAATAGCCATGTAATTCTACACATGTGCTCTTGTCTTGAATGGACCCAAAGGGTAGATCACCTCACTTTGTAAAGGTTCATTCTCTATTTGACGAGCCCCAAATGATGGACCCATTGGTTTACTTGATATTCTGACTAAGCCATCTGTCAATTTCCTTTTATACGTGCAAGGCTGTTTCTCAGGCTGATATTTTGTATGAGGAAGCCTTTGGGTTTTCAGCACATTTATTTTACACATTTGACCTTTTTATGCCACTTGTGCAAAAATTTGTCAGGAACAGTATAAGAATCGCAATAGCAATAACTGATTTTGGCCTTTGATTCAGTGGAGGGAAGCTAATTATGTGGAGAGAAACCAATGATGGGCTAAACGACAGGGGCTCAGTATGCATCCCTGCCCTGCTACAGGCATTGACACAGCATGAGGACCAGAGTCAGAGGAAATCGTGTCCTGATACACCAGACCACAATTTCCAAGCAGATCCCGAGAGCCACGTGCTTCAGTCCCTGCTTCCTGTAATGGGTATTTTATGACTTGGAAGAAATTTTGGATGAGTTGAATGAATTGCCCTTTTTTTACGAGGAACAGAAAGTTAAAAGTCTTTTCTATGCAGGTGACATGGTTTTATTGTTACCAACCTAAAATGGCCTCATTACTGTCAGAAAAAAATGGTCCAGGATGAACTGCTCCAACCCTCCAAATGTCATTGTTGGCAGATGTCCTCCAACATGGAGTTGGCTTTTATTCAACAACCTGTGAATTGCATTCATTCCTTTAGTCACTTAGGGCTGTATTTTCCTACTAAAACATTTGGGGGACTCACCAGGAGGTGATATTTACATGCCATCAGGTGTCTGTGGGTGCAGTGTTAGGATTTTCCTAAGGCCTTCTTGGGAGATTTGTAAAATGTACTTTGAAAAAAAATTTTAACCTAAATTTATGGCTTAGCTCGATGGACTAGGACCTCATTTCTTGGTGTAGGAGCAGATATAGAGCTGTTCTGTGAAAGAACACAGCTCTCCACAGGGATTTCCACGGGTATTCTCATAGGGGTTCCCACAGGTATTCTTAGAGTCATCCCCACAGGCTTTCCCACAGGTGGCCCCATAGGCCTTTCCTCAGGTCTTCCCACGTGTATTCCCAGAGGTTTTCCTTTAGCTTCTCTCTGTGCAGAGGTTGGGCCACTTGATTGACTGTAAATGCACATAGATCTCCCCGCAGTGGGTCACATAGAATGTCCGTGCGGTAGACTGGTTCTCACTAGAGACGGTAACTTCAAACTGCCTGCTCTCCACACGACATCTCTCAGGAGATGGAGAGAAATGTACTCCCCAGAATTCCCCTGACGAAGGGAGCTGGATCTTGCTGAGGCTCACGCAAGGTTTCTGCGAGGAGAACAGCCAAGCCAGGAGAGGTCCGCTTCTCCTGAGCAAGTGGGAAGTTTCCCAACTTTTAGAATCCCTGTCATCCCAATCGCTTGTGGGTGGTTGTGTTTCTGTTTTCTCCATGGCTCCTAGGAAGCTAAGTGTAAAAAACTTGTTTGGCCTCTTGGATCTTAGACTGTGCTGGGCTTCCTGTTCCCTTGATCTATTTGTTCCTCTGAAGTATGTGCTGGGTTGTCTGTATTCAAATCAACCTCCTCAAGCCTTTTTGGACATGAGGCAGAGATGCAAATAAACACTAGTACGAAGAATGGGACCATCTATCATCCTGAAACAATGAATGAGTATTGCGAAGGCCCAGA